CTCTTACTTTGTGCAGCTTTACTGCAAACCATGATTGCATGAAGAATACAGCATCTCCGGCCATGAGACTATTTTTAGATATCCAAAATCTTCCTTTTTTCACTTTCCGCAGATGCAAGTTTTGTTTAGAATGATAGCAATTAATGGGACTGTAAACATGAAACTCTCAAAATAAACAATTCAAACAATCGCGAATTATGTTATCACTCTGAGATCACTAGTATTCACACTAAGTAATTTGTTGTTATTTCAAATGTTTTCCCTTCCCCCCTTTCCTTTTTTTTTCAGCGCAGTTTCGCAATTTTTTATTCGCATAAATATTAGGTCGTCCCGAAAGTTTTGTCGGTTTTTTCGTACCATTATAAAACCACGCACAATAAACATCTGAATGAGTTTCAACATGCACTCGATGCAGCTTTTTCTTCTCTTTCTTATGGATACATTCTCGAGCCACAATCTTGTATGCTTTTTTCGATATTGGTTGAAACTCTCCACCCGTCAATTTCATCTGCTCGAAGTTCGGCTAATTTTTAAAAATTTTATTCTAATGTTTTTGAAGTGTTTAAGTATGATTCTAATAGAGATACTCTTGGACTACAAGAATATATTTTTAGATTCTCCGAATCTGCTGTTGTTAGCTTGAAAAAAATTATTCCTTAAGAGGTCTCGATTTTTGGCAAAGTCATGAAACACTCAACTGCAGCAAATTCATGGAAGTCTTCAAAAATTCTGCGAATTGAAAAATGATTCTTATTAAGCATTATTTATGCAACATGACCAAGTTTGATTTGCCTTGAGAAAGCAGCTTTTTGGAATTTTCGGTACTTTTACCTGGTAAACGTAATCAAAAAGTCGCGGTTTTTATTAAATAATTAATTATAACGAACTTGGTAAACGTGGCCCATGTAAAAATAAAAAGAATGTAGCCAAAAGTTTGCTCTACATAACGGTTACCAGCGCTCTTTAAAATCATCAGGATAAAAATTTTAAAAATTTATGAAAAATTTGGTACTGCTAAGCTGCTCAAAAAGCAATGGCGATAACATTGCAAAGACAAGGTAGATCAGAAAGCAGGTATAGCTGCAAGAAAGAGTATAAAAATCTGAACCAAATGGTACCTAGATTGCCCGTGGATTGATGTTCTGTGAGTTTCAGTGGTCGATGAAAGAAACCGACAAAACTTTCGGGACAAGATTTATACACACTGATCTCAAACATGTGCCACTAAATATTAAGAGAAATTCCAGGCAATGAATTCATTATGTTGGCTAAATAATAATTTTGATGGCTTTTTAACGCTCATACAAGTTTAAGAATGATCTACCTGCAGCTGTTTACAAAGAGTAATCAGAGGGTTATTGGAGCAGTAATCGGCTTTATTATGACGATGCGGTGCTGTAAAGTAAAAAATTCAAATTTTTCACCAAGTTTTTCGATGCAACAGAAAACTGAATGAACTTGGATGTAAATCACAATTTCGATATTTTCAACCGCTTACATGGCTATAGATGATCGAATACAGGCGATCTGGACTGCCCAGAAAGACTTCCTTGCGCGAATGCGCGGAAATATGCAGATTTTCAGCAGCAGAAATTCACAAAAAGCTGATCTCAATCTTTATCATTTTTCATTATATAGCCAAAGATGTTATGGATCCACATACCAAATTACTGAACTGTGCATTCACTACAGTTCAAAAACGAAACTTTGGAAGTCGAAACAGTGATTTTATGAATGTGAGCTGTGTAAGGGCATAGTTGCTTTCATCACCAATAGAAAATTTCATTCAAAGGATATGTGGTAATAGAATTTTCAAACTATCTGCTCACAAATACCTTACTCAGTCAAACGCTATTTGGATTTTACAAGCTTCAGTTGCATATCAAAATGAAATTATTCATTAGCCATCCTAATAACTCCCCATTGACCTCTCCCGTCGAAAATGCATATATTCTAGTATTTGCTGACCTGGACAACATCTGCAGAATTCGGACTGTGCTCAATTGCCTGAAGGCGTAAAATAGCCGAAAGTTGGCGACATGCCTCAAACGAGTTCAATTGGCCATGCTCAGCGCGGCGCTCAGTGATTAGATGGCATTAGCACTCGTGTAGACTTCTCGTAACTGCTTTTCCGCTCAATTTCATCGCTTAAACCTTTTAGATTCAGAAATGTGTCACGACCACGCGTGATCAGGCATCTTATGAAGTTCTAAAAGAAGTGTCAGGTCTGTATGTAAGTATTAGGCAGAGCTCGGCACGAGGTGGCTTTTGGAAACTGCAAAAAAACATAGTCCCCCTTGATTTTTGCGAATTTTTACGAAGTCCCCTTTGACCCTAAACCCTAAACGTAAACCAACCCTCTAAAAAAGAAGCATCGACCAAAAAACTGCAATTTTTGTGTCTTTTCGGTTTCAGATCGATAATCCCTTTGCTTTTTGTCCCAAAAACGGCATCCAGCTTGCTTACAAGCCACCTGTGCCGAGCCCTGGTATTAGGTTGTTGCATAACTTTTGTACACTCAGCCAGAAAAAATTTCATAACTTCTTCAAAAGATTTTCCCCATTTTCAAATTATGCCGAATGTTGAGGATTTTGATGTATACATGTCACACATGACGATTACAATTTTTGAACTTTCTAATATTTTCCCGAATTATTTTTGGCAAATTTCAACTTGCGTTATTAAAAAGCTTGGACTTCCAAATTGCCTCCATTTGCTACTGATGCTCCCGGAAGTCCATAAGAAATCTGAAAAGATGAAAATGATGAATGGGAGAATTTTCGAAAAATAACGAAAAAATAGAGGGTGGAGTGCTACTTGAAAACTGCCTTCGTATTTATTGTAATGTATTATTTGTAACCCATGTTCAGAAAAGCGAAAATGATACCATTGGATAGCCCTTCATCTCTTCCCCACACATGCTGAATAAGAAACTTCGCCGAATTTTCTAGATTTTTTCAGAGGAAAAGTAACAAAACTTGAGTAACAACCTAATAGCTCGCTTCTCAGCTTTATCGCCAGCTTACCCCCGTAGTGCACGAAAAGCCAAAGCTCATCGCACGAACCGCACACGACTACATGATGCCCAGAAAAAGGGCAACAGAAGTGTAAGATTTTGATGGATACTCGGCTCTAAGGAATACGTCAAAAGTACGTGCTTCGGCCACTTACTTCTAGATTGCATGTCTGTCACGATTTACAATTCTAACCCCAGTTCCGAACTTTAGCTTACGCCGTCGTTCCCATTACCTTCGTTAACTTCATGCCCTTTCTGCTACATCTCGGGGAAGTCAGCTTTGAGGGAGCTAATTACTATTTGCAGTTTTTCTTCTTGCGTCCTTGCATCCTAATGCAAAACAACCCGAATAACGGAGAAATTGCCTCTGAGCAGCCATTTTTGAACTTTTGCTTTACTTTCTTGTGCTTGTGCCAATTCGTAAATAGGTTTTCTTGTGCTTTGTCAGAGGTCGCTGTGTCCCAATCCAATTTGTTGTTGTTCTCGATTTTTTATTTGATTTACACGCTAGAAGCTTGGATTCTACTATAATGGGATGAATCATAAAATGAATGTTTGTGTATGCACTTGATGTTCTCGGGAACCTCACTTATAATACTAATGCACTTTTTGCTAGAGGCCAAAGCATTCAAGCAATCTCTCAGCATTTGCCTACATTGCGAGAACAATGCGGCTAGCTCTTCATTTGGTTGCTTTGTTTTAATTCTTTTGTATACTATGAATATTTGGGCTGAAACTGACGATCTACAACAAAGTAAAAAGGGTTCACTGAAGGAATATAAGGCAAAAACTCAAACCCTAAAATTCAAACCATTGAATTTTTCTTTTTACTTGTACACCTCTTCTAAATTTAACTCACCTATAATCACACTTTGCCCGAGGATATTCGAATGCAGGTCTGTATGCAAGGAAAATAAATTAAGCATGAACAATCAGGCGAGCTATGGTTAGAGCCAGTAGCACTGTAAATGTGCGATTATAAGGAATCATCGATAATGAACATGTCAATAAATGAGATTTTCGATTTCATAGAATTTCCCTCATAAGAAATGATTCACGTGGTGCAATAACCTCAAGCCCGTTGCCTTTCCATCTTACGCTGCTCTTATTTTGCTTCAAAACCACTAAAAGGTTGAAGCTACTACTTTCCGTACTTAATAGAATGAGATTGTACCGCATTCACTTTCTGACAGAATTTTATAAGCGTGATTTGGACTTTTCTATCTTATTCTAGCTTAAGGCTAAATACGTCTAAGAAGCTTTCACATAATAAGTAGTTCAATTCACTTCCGGAAGTGACAGGAATCATCATGAATTCTCTGCTGCTAAAGTTCGCTATGATAGTAAACTTTTTTCCTTCTGTGGTCGGAAAGAGAGCTTCTTTCCAAATTTAGCTTCATCTTTATTTAATGATTCTTTGAGCACATTTCCATTGCAATTTGTTGAAATCGGAAATTAAAATCTATTAAAAGAGTATTGACTGTCAGAATTCTGTTTCATATCTGCATGTGAAGCGATTTGTTTTCTGAACGTTTGGCATTTCTAGTATTTACAAGTGGAAATCATCCTGTTATCTATTCTAATAGAATTAGCAAAGTAGGAGTATGATTTCATCTTCTTTCGTTTGGAAGCGAAGATAAGCAAATTGGAGCTCTAACAGAGACTAATTATGTATCTTTCTCTCACCAATTACCTTGTCAGTAATCATGATCTCTCAGCAGTAAGCTTTTCGCGAATGCGTCGCATGATTTTTCGGCTAAAATTCCACATAAAATATTCGTTTGTATATACCAAAAATAGTGGGAAGAATATCACTCTGCTGAAGTAGTGTTTTGCCTCAAAGGCTTTACCGGATTTATCTTCAAAAAGCTTAACACCGCCAAAGCCAAGTCTGACTAGACACAACAGCTTCGTTCCTCATACGACACCGCATTTTCGCGAAATTCTTATATTTTCTGTATTTCTGTAATAGTTTTTTTTTCAGAAATTGACGAATAATGGAAAATACAACTCCGCCGGTCATTCGTCACAAGCCTTTACTGACTGAAGAGAGGTTTGCTTTTAGTTTCTTTTTCAAAGAAAGTGCATAAAGGCTACTAGAATCTTGCAAAGGTTTGATGGTCTTGAAAGTTCTGTCGATGATTAACGAGGTCTGCGACTGCACACATCACATAAATATATAAGCACCAGTGTAAATGTCACTCATAAAATGTTTGAATGATGTGATCCAGGATAGCCTAGGACATGAGCATGCTTGAACTTTTCGAAAAATTATCCTTTCTCATAAATTTACTGCGTGCTTTGTGATCGATGGTTTTACACTGCTTGAGCAATGTCCTCATGCTGGATCAAGCAAGTTTATTCATTTTCTGAAGTTCGAGTAATTATTTTCCTCGAAAATGTCAGTTCTCGTCAGCTACTTCAACAATTATGCCAGGCAAATTTTTCTATACCCTTAACTTTTTTCACTCAATATAAATACTAGATTTAGCAGCTTGGTAAAGTATCACTGTCTTTTCATGAAGACAAGTAAAAGTACTTTTTCTGCACATCCATTCCCTCATGAAGTTAAATTAAATGCTGAAGCGAAATTGAATGCAAAAATTTGAAAACAATATCCAGTGTTATATACATTAGCACCTTTTTCTTATATCTAGATCTTATATATTGTTGTTACATTCTATCTGTTATGGATTTTCTCTGAAAGTATTTAGTTGCAAAGCCTGACGTCTTCGCATGCTTTGAGTTTAAGCTCATCGAATATGAACAGGTGACGCATATTTTCACTTTACATTACTTAAGTGTTTGAAAGGATTAAACATGTTGAAAGCTCTGTATTACCCCGTCCGCTTGTTAGCCAAACTCCTAACTAACCGGTTTGTTCTCAGTTGTTTCACAAAATGGAAGTCGATTTTCGTTTTGTATAGTTAGTGCACATTCCTGAATACATTTCAGATTTTTCGCTACTACTGAAATTAAATATTAAGCGAGAGTGATTGCCGTAAGCTGTCTCCACAGAGTTTCGGAAGAACCCGTATAAAACTGTTGATAGCCAATTTGGATAGGCACATTGAAAACCTGCTAAAAATTATTTCTCACTGTTTTTTTATGGATCCTACAATTTCCGTTCTGTTTTGTACTTTACATGTACATCACATTTCGTGGTTCGTGCATTTTTGGAGCGCAAACCGCACTGAAAACATCACCAAAGAATTTATCACTAAAGCTAGGTTAAAACTTATTGCTAAGCCCGTCTTCTTAACAAAATAGAGTTCGTCGAGCTTCGCGTTTAGGCCTATGGAGAAGATTTTAAAAGCCATGCAACTTTATCATATCCGAGAATACAAGTAAAAAATCTAGCTTGGTTTCTCGCGAAATTGCACGCTACATAGTGGAATTCATCTGATAACAATTTATCAGCTTTTGGAATTTTATTGTTTTTGAAATCGTATGAAATGTTAATCTCCTATGACGGCGAATGTCTCTTACGTCACAGAGCACACTTAGCAAAGGATCGGCTTACATGATCTCTGCTTGTTGTCCTGGGTAGGCTTAATTCCTATGTTTACGTAGAAGCTATGAAAATATAACTTTGTGTTTAGTAAGTTTCTGCTATCGGTAGATGAAAAGTCCAATTTTTTCCCCGCTCTCCAATGCCTTAAAATAGAAGTTCCTGAGTCGGAAGCTCAGACAAAATAAACTTTTCGGGAAATGAAAGATTTGTTGGGAAAATTTAACATCGTGCTGCTAAGCCGATTTTTTGCAAGAAAAATTGTCTAGATTTTTCAGTTTAATTGCTGTAGCTGTGCCAAAATATGCACTGGAATTATTTATCTGACCCTGCAAACGCTAATATATCTCCATTCGTATTATTGGCTTGAATTTTTACTTTTTATTCCTTATCTTTACTTGTTGAGGGCACCCAGAGTGCATTACACGATGAATGCTTTGTGTAGTCCTATCCTCGACCTTAGCTATTGTTTAGTTTCGAACGAAACTGCTAACAACCGATATTCAAGGTGTCGTTCAGCTAGAAAGCTTCATCTTCAACCCCATAGAAGCTACAAAATCTAATTAACCATTTCTTTTCACAGCCCTCTAACTTTGTTTGCCATTATCGCTACACTGCGCAATAGATATTGTGTTGGAAGCGGATTAATTTGAGTATTACTTAGCAACCGCAATTTAGCACTAACGTCGCGTTAATCATGTAATCTTAACTCACCAGCATGGTGCTTACTGTCTTGCTTGAATTATTTCGTTATGCTGGAAAAAAGGAATATCTCATAAGTCTTCATTTCCAATTTGCGTGCCTGACTTTATTGAAGCAAAATCCGTTTTTTGAAAATAAAAAAAAGGCTGGAAAAGTTTTTTTTCGCACACTTTGAGCCACAGCTGTTAATTTCTTCTGCGCGAGTAGCAGAATTAGAAAAAGTTTGGATGTGTTGACTGAGCTTTTCATATTTACTTTTTCATTTATTTGTTTTTGCATGCAAAATAGCTCTAAATGATTCCTTAAATGGTGTAGAGGAAATATTGCTTTCCCACCAACGGAAAACTAGAACCTGATTTCAAGTACTTTCTTGATTCAATTTTCACATGCAGTACCCATTTTCTAATCTGTGATTCAAACAATAATCCCAAATATAGGGACGAATTGAGAGAATGGCGAACCTTCCGTTTATTCGTTTGCACAACATTTGAGCATAGCTCCTTGAGGTTTATTCAGAATGTTTTCTTTTCGAGATCGGAGGCCTCTTGCGCCTTCCATTAGATTCTTTCCTTTTTATTCTCTGGGCACATAGCGAAAGAATAAAATTCATCGTAGTCTTGCAACGAACTTCCAAAATTTGCTCACTCCAACTGATTGTAGGTGAAGTTTTAAAATACTTGTCATTCGACAAATTTCAATGAAAAACCCCTAGGCGCGGTTTGAGTCGTTAAGGTGCCTAAGTAATTGAAAATTTAACATTATACGGTAAAGGCTTTTGACTCGGCTGGTATTTACCCAGCTTACCTTATCGTATAAATGTGTCTCTTTTATTTTCGTACTCTTTCCTCTTTTTCGCAAATTGAGAGAAGCTTTGTACGCGACAGCTATGACATAACCACGTTCTCGCATAATTTTCTTTTTGAAGTTTAAAATTCATTTGCTACGACATTTGGATACTCTATAAGATAACCTGAAAAGCATCTTTCATCAATCATCAATAACGGAAACATCTCACTGATTTATGAAAATGCTTTCATTTCTTTGTGTATGGCATTCGTTCCTGAGGGACGGAAGTCATCCATTATTTTGCAGCTTCAAAGTTCTTTCCAATGCAAACAGAATCAAGAAAGAGCTGCATTCTAAACCATTTTCCGCATCTGGTCCCAGCTCCTTTTCAAGCAAAGGCCCGTACTTTGGTTCCGAGAATAAAATGACAATAATCTATTGCTCATAAACTTCTGGAGTACTCATAAAAAAAGGAACGATTCTGCGATAGGCAAGTAAAAATAAGGTGACAAAGTGCAGGAAATTTGAGACGTAGGCCTTACAATGGTTGCTGTTTTGAACTGGAATCTTTACAGCGTTTTTTCCGAGTAAAATAAAGAACACTTTTAGGAAGCTTAATTTACATACAATACATCATGTTTTCTCAACAGATTTACTCCTACTGACTTGACAATAAAACTCTTATCCACTACCAATAGTATGTAAGTTGGAACTAAAAAATTGCTATGATTGAATTAGATTGTTTTTTCTGTGTGACTTTTGTTAAAGGTATCCGAACAATTTTGCAATCTAAAATTTCCTAACTTCTTGGTCCCCCTTTTCTGCAAATTTTTTCTCTCGGTAGCATTCTAGCATCAATTTCAAATCGGAAGTTAGTAAATTTCCATCTGTGCCGCATCTGCAAGTCAGGTCTGTGAATGACAAAGAGCACATTTTTTGCTTTAGAATAAAATTTTGAAATTTTCATGTAGATCCTGTAAAGTCTTTCTTCAAAAAGTGAAAGCAACAGAATGCTTGCAGCAAAGAACTCATTTTTCCTCGACGCCACAGGTCCATCACTTTGAATAAATAAGGCATTTCGAATTCAAGCATTGAGCGAAGATGAAACTAGTGACGCAATTCCATGAAAATGCTTACTTTAGCAAGTCTTCATAATTGAAATTTTTATTCTTTATTTATCCACCTCCGCCAAGGCTACAGAGTCCTACGACTTCTCAGAAATCCAAAATCTTCTTTGAACCCAATTAAGCCCCCTTTTCTCGACATATTTTGGGAATGGAAGCTTTGCGATTCTCAACAGGGCTTGGAGCAGAGATTACAATTGGATTATAATAGTTGGTAAATTGCGATGTCACCTAACAGATAATGTAAAACATTCAAATTTTGGAATTTGAAATCGAGCTGTTAGTAATGCGATGTTTCTTGAGATTCGCCACTCTCAGTATAGATTCTACGACCTAGACTTTTGAATAACTGAGAAAAATGGTTGCAGTTTTCACTTTTTCAAATTTTGGTTCTATAATGTTCAAAATAGCAATATTTATAATTTTACGGTTTTCGACAACTTCGTTTTAATATTTTTAGACCAAGCTTCTCATAATCCCTCAATTTCATCAATGAATAATTTTTTGACCACGTCATTCGACTCCGATTTGTTCCTCTCAATATTTCTACAAAATTCACACCAGGTTCCTTAGAGTTTTCTATGTAATGTAAATCGTAAAAGCATTGATCTATCAAGACGGTCATTGTAACATAGGCTTAGTGCACTTCCATTTATGGGACATTTTGACTCGAGAGCGACTAAGGTTAATTAAGCTAGTCCTTCTAAGGCAGACAATTGTGCAAACAAGGAAAAGAGCAAAAGCGCAAGATGTAAAACAGGGTGAAAGGTAATCGTTGAGATGAACAATTCTATTTTTGAAGTAGAATCAATCTGAGTGTAAGAATGACCTCCGCCTCTCCGGAATAACCAGGTTTCGCAAAAAAAAAATCGTGGCTAAGGCAGGCGCCAGACTTATCTGCTTGTCTTCTTAGCAGCTTGGTGATTGGTC